CTTATGGAAAGATGGGGAACTGCAGCTTCCCCCGAAACCAGCCGCAGTTCCTTCCTATGGCTGCCTCCTGTTTCCATGATCACGCAGCAATCCTGCCTTCCAGCTCTCTCTGTATTCCTCCAGCTGCTGTTGAGGGTATGATTTAGAGCACACCAGATGTTCTTGTGTGAGTGTGTGTGTGTGTGTGTGTGTGTGTGTAACAAAAGTGTTCATTTGTCTCCAACTTCTACAGTGACCCCGTGGTGATTTTTTAGCCACCTCTCACCTCCATCCTCCCGTAGTGACTGTCCCAAAGACAAGAGTGCTCTAGACTGTGGGACTGCTTGTTTGTTTAAATATGGAAGGGTTTATCCCATGTCTGTCCACTGTAAACAAAGTAACAAACAACACAAAAACCTTTCCATCTGGGCAGACCACAGCTCATGACTCATCTCACGGCCTGCCATGGGCTTGACTCTCAGTCCTCTCTCTCACTAATTGTATTGGCTTATGAAGGCTATTGATTTTTGAGCTGCTTAAAGATGATAACAGAACCTGCCCCAGTGCGGCAAGGCTGAGCTGGCTTTGTGGGACCACAGCCTGTGCAGTTATAAGGCTTTTCACTCTGCCGGCAGGGTCTTGAAATTCTTAGCAACGTCTGAGCAGGAAGTCCGGCAATTTCATTTTGGTGGGATCTGCGAATTATGTGGCTAATCCTGTTTAGGGGGTGTCTGGGTGCTTTAAATGGGGTCTTACTTGATCCTAAGCCCAGGGCCCATTCTACATACAGCAAGTGCTCAGGAAATATTAAGGAGAGAAGGGCTGGCCAGCAGGTACCTCTCTGTTCACAGGGGCAGGAAAGACAGGCATAGTAGAAGGAGGAGGAGGAGGAGGAGGAGGAGGAGGAGGAGGAGGAGGAGGAGGAGGGGATTTGGCTATCAGTATCAGGCCCGCCCCCCCCCCATGCCTCATCCGGATTGGCTAAGTTTCTTCTTTTCCCCAGGCCTTAATTGCTTCACTGAGGCATGGTGCCCTGGTCTCTACCTCCAGAAGCCTGTGGTGGTAAAGCCACTAATGCTGACATCTCCAACAGTGTTTGGAAGAAAAGGAAGGTCTGTGAAAGTGGATTTGGAGGGATGGGGCAGGAGCAAGAGGCAGCCTGGTGTAGCTGCCTGAGAGGTGGTCTCAGACCTGGACAAGGGCAGAATGGCATCCTCAGGCAGGCACTCCAGCAGATATGCCTTGGCCTGGGTCAGGGAACCTGGCTTTCAACTCTAGCACTGTCATTTAGAGGTTGCATAATAGACTTTAGTTTCCTCTCTAATATTATTATGGTGTAGATTTACAATTTCTCCCCAGGTAGCTCATGTATTGAGGGTTCGGGTCCAGCTGGTGGAATTGTAGGGAGGTGCTGGATCCTGGGGCGCTCTGATAACCAACAGATAAGTCCATTGATAAGGTTGTAGTTGATGGACTATTAGGAAGTGGGCCTGGATGAATGAGATAGGACACTCTAGGTGTCTAAGAAAGGCATATCTTGTCCTGGGCCTGCCCCGCTACCCTCCACCCTCATCCTACCACCACCAGGGGGCCTGCCATGAAGTAAGCGACTTGTCCTACCCTCTCTGCCATGACACTCTGCCTACTGCAGCCTCAGAGCAACGGGGCCAACCAGGGGCTAAAAACTCTGAAACTGGCAGAGTTTAACTTTTCTTCTGTCGACTGTTTTGCTACAGCGATGAAAAGATATCCAGAGTGTAGACTGAGGCTCCTTCCACTACCAGCGGCTTCCTCCGTGAGTGTTTGGGAGGCAATACACATCAATGAATCCACAAGCAGACACTGGACACCAAGAGCCTGGTTCAAAGACCGCCTCTCTGTCGGTCACACAATCTGGTCCGAGTTACTTAGCCTTCCCGCAGCACCACAGTCCCTCAGCTTGATGCAGGAATAACTGTCCCACGGCAACCTGTCCCTAGGATTTCTGTGAGGTATGGTGAAGCACACGATCCTGAGACTCCCCTGGACTGGCCATGGTGATGGTTTTACCACGACCAGTACTCCTTTTTACACCTGTCAATCTATGGGAAAGGAAGGGGTAAGAACAGGAAGGGGATGATGTTTGTGTGTCTGCACGACTGTGCCTGTGCAGGCTGGCACAGGCTCTCTGCGTCCCTGAGCGGGGATCTGTGCGTGCACGTACTGCCAGTCATGGGGAACAGGAACCACTCACTGTCAAACAAGGGTCCAGGAGGGTCCCCCAGAGTGTGTCCTGCCTCCTGGTAGGAAACAGGGAGAAAGGACGGAAAGATGGACTAAGCGCACAACAACAATAACAACAACAACAAACCCGGAAAACCAAATACAAGCCAGCTTGTTTTCCATCTCCTGGCCTAGGTAGGTGACTCCCTGGCCACAGGCTGAGGCTCCTGCTGCTTCTTCCCCCAGGCGAGGCGTGTTCTGAGAAGGGGGACTGTTGTCATCATAGAGCGAGGCCATCTGCTTTCTCAGGGACCGCTGCACCTGGGCCAACTGTGAGCACACTAAGTATCGGTGATAGAAATGGGGACGAGTTCCGGGAGCTTCCTGTGTAGTCCTTGAGTCCTAGCTGAGGGTTAGGGCTCCCAGCGCGGCTCCCAACAAGGACAAGAAAGGAGGAGAAAGATTGAGTGCCACAGCCAGGGGTATGGAGAGAAGGTGACTCTGTCCCTCCGGAAGGGGACTTTGGGTGTTGTGGCGGGCAGAGAAGCAGGCAGGACAAAAGACACCCGTGTGTTTCCCCTGCCAGTACTGGACTCCTGTGACCCAGGAGACCCACACTGAGGGACCTGGAAAATGGTTTTTCAGAGAAATGAAGGAGGTGAGTGTCTCTGAAGTCTTCTTAGTATAGTCTCAAGAGACTGGGTTTCTAGTTAGAAAGGGGGAGTTTCTATAGGCAGGAGAGCCTTAAAGGTTGAGCCTAGGAGTCTGGCTGAGATCTGCTCCCTCCTGAGAGCCAGTACCCAAAAGGTTTGTAGGATCTTAGGGGCAATGGGAGCCAGGCATGGCCTAGGACTGTCTTGGGGTGGAGGGTGAGGGAACAATGTCCTGGTGTGCCTGGAGCTTCCCATACAGCAGGCACAGTGCAGAGCCCACTCACTGACAACACCAAGAAACAAAGACCACACCTAGGGCGGGATTGACCTCTCATCCCATTCACAAACAACAGGCAGAGATGTGCTTTAGACCCCACTTCTAGCCAGGTCCACACAGGCACCTTTCCAGGAAAGGCATGCTTGGTTATACAGACTCCCAACACAGAAAGAGCCACTATGGCTACCACAGTTACTACACACTGAGCAACTACTATGTACCAGATATTATTCTAAAGCTTTTCCTGAAACTAGTTTAATCTTTACAAAGCAAAAATAGCTGTTCTAAGTACATCCCATTTTACAGATGAGGAAGAGTGAGGGAAGTCACACAGGGCTCAGCTCAGAGGCCAGCGCAATGGTTCAGGGCTCCTTACTTTGCTCGTGGTTTGTGGTTTACTAGCAAGCTTAGCACGGCCCCAGCCTCGGACACAGCTGCTCACAGAGACTGAGAGCTGTTGGGGCACTAGCAGGAGAGATGGGGAGGGGTCGGCCTGTTGTCAGGGGTCTGTAGGCTGTGACTTAACACTGGGTCCAGTGAGAACATTAGTGCTCCAAAGGTGGAGGTACGGGGGTCAAAAGCCGCAGGAATCCGGCTGTGGAGCGAGGTGCCAGAGGATTGCTTCCTGCGTTGAATCACCTCGGAGGAGCGATTTTTGTGCATCCAGGGCCTACCTAACTCCGACTTTCTGCAGAGCTTCTCCTGTGCTCTCGGCTGCACCCTTCCCAGCCCAACAGCCTCCGGCTATTAGCACTTGGACCGCCGCGCCCGCCCGAATTCGCTCTCAGGCGGGGAGGCCTGCGGAGAACCGAGTCCGGATATAGGATTGGGTGGAGACACTCGATCCCAGGAGCCTACCCGCACCCCACCTAGAGAGGCATCAAGTTCTTGGTGTCCTTTTAAAATGGGGGTGGGGAACTTACAGACCATCGTTGGATAAACGCTGTTTAGAACTCACCGATTTGTCTTTCAACCCTTTCAAACAAAAGTCAGGGCGATTTTTGTGAAGGGGCGGGGGAAGCTCTGACTCTTCAGAAGTTGCAGATTTTCTAAGGATTAAAAAGCCATCGGGAAGATAGCAAATTACCCCTCGCCCCACATTTGTTTCTGATTATTTGCGTTGTAACTGGTTTGTGAAATCCAAAATTAAGAGTTCGTGAAAATCGTTTATTCTGGAAGTGTAACACATCTCAACAGTGTTCTTAGAAGGAGCCAAGCAGCGGAGTGGAGAAAGAAGTGGGGTGGGAATCGGCGTCCACTTAACCAAAAGGGCGGAAAAGATGAGGGAGGAGACAGAGCCGCCGCAAGGGTGCAAGCAGGACCTTGGCTAGAGTCTCTGGATTCCTTCTGGCTTTACCCACCTGCAACATCGAGTTTTCTACAAGCGGCGCGGGTGGGAAAGTCCGAATAGAGTTTATCCAGACCCAGGGGGTCATTTCCTACCCGTTCTCTCTAACTCGGACCCCGCCGAACAAAGGCTCAGGCGCACGGGGGAGAAAGGTGGCCCGCTGGACCAGTGATGGTCGCGCCCCATCGGATCCCCTTTTGTCCCTTAGTTCTGTCGTCCCCAGGAGGAATTCTTAATTTAAAAATTATAAAAGAAAAGCACTCTGAAGGGAGCGAGGGCTCCCATCTATCCCCAGGTGTCCATCACCCTGCTGGAGAGCCACTAGGGCAACCTCCCCGCCGAGTCCAAAGGAAGCGCGGCGCTGCGGCAGAGCTCGCTGGGTGGAGACGCGGCTTCCCAGGGATTGCGGGACCCGGGGCCGCAAAGCGGATCCTGGAAGGTTTCGGGGGAGGGGGCTGCGCTCCATTGTTCACTCCGAGCCAATCAGAGCTTGCCCACTTCCTTGCAGCCAATCTGCCGGCGCCTCGGGCTCTACCCGAGCCCACCCTCCGGGTCCCCATCACCTCCCCCGCATTCCCCGCGGCGGTAGGGGGGAACTGGGTGACGCTACAGGTCCCGCCTCCAGCTCGGGCCCCGGGCGAGTGCGTGCTGACGTCATGCTGCGTGCGGGCCGGTGCGGAATCGCCCCTTCAACTCCGCGGGGCAGGAGTTAGTTAGCAAAGAGCAGAGGCTGGGCGCGCGACCCTGGTCCTTCTGCCCCCGGCCGCACGCTTTGCGTACACTTCTCTCTGCATGGTGGATATTATTTTTCATTATCCTTTTCTGGGTGCTATGGGGGATCATTCCAAGAGTAAGTCTTTCTGTGTGTGTGGGTGTGTATGCGTGTTTAATATGCAACATTTCCAATGCAGAAGAATGTTTAGCGGATTCTACAAGTGGCTTCTATTTGACAAAATACTTGGGAGAATAAAGAAAAAAAACCAATGCATTTCGACTGTAGCAGTGTTTATCCTTTGGAATCCTGCTGTTTTATTTTATAATTAGACATTATTTCCCAAGTCGGCTGAACTGACCTCAGACTGTGAATTCTTTCTCTTTTCTGTTAGGACGATTAGGTTTGATTTAGGGAGATGAGTTTCTTTTCTGTTTGCTTGTCTTTCGGTCTTTCAAAGCTAGAGAGAATTTCAGTCGCTTGGATCTGAGGTGTTTAAATTAAGATCTGTCGAAGCAGCTGAGCGCGGGACCGCGCTGAAAGCTGCGGTATCGATGTTGGGATAGGAGGGAGTCATTGTGAGCGGGCGGAAATCCGGGCTTGGCCGACAGTGTGGACGCGGAGGCGTCCGGGGCTCCCCGGTGTCACTGTGCTGTCGCCTGCCCCCCCGTTAGTTCTGTTTGTATCTGAGCCGATACGACGTCGCGTGTTCAAAGACCGTGATAACGGAAATGTCAGGAGAGTGCGTTGTTTTCGTTTACTATTTTCCTAAATCTTTCGAGAGCTTTCCGTTCCCTCGTGGTCGCACTTCTAAGAGTAAGAGCGCGAGAGCGAGAGCGCGAGAGAGGGTTGGGTTGGGGCTGCAGCGGCCGAGGCCGGGCCGGGGTCGGCAGCCAGGCCTGACGCGGGCCCCTGCGCCCTTCCCCGCTAGAGAAGCCCGGGACGGCCATGTGCGTGGGGCTGCGGGAGTCAGATCCACGACCAGTTTATCCTTCGGGTGTCGCCCGACCTCGAGTGGCACGCCGCCTGTCTCAAGTGCGCCGAGTGCAGCCAGTACCTGGACGAGACGTGCACGTGCTTCGTGAGAGACGGGAAAACCTACTGCAAGCGGGACTACGTCAGGTGAGCTGGCGGGACCCCGGGTTCGGCCCCCCGGTGGGCTGGGGGACACGGGCTGCGCGTCCCGGGCCCGGATCCCCACGCTGACACCCGCCGCGCCCGGGCCCGCAGGCTGTTCGGCATCAAGTGCGCCCAGTGCCAGGTGGGCTTCAGCAGCAGCGACCTGGTGATGCGGGCGCGGGACAGCGTGTACCACATCGAGTGCTTCCGCTGCTCCGTGTGCAGCCGCCAGCTGCTCCCGGGAGACGAGTTCTCGCTGCGGGAGCACGAGCTGCTCTGCCGAGCCGACCACGGCCTCCTGCTGGAGCGCGCTGCAGCCGGCAGCCCGCGGAGCCCCGGCCCGCTCCCCGGCGCCCGCGGCCTGCATCTGCCAGGTAAGCCGCTCGCCCGGCCCGCGTAGCCGCGCCGAGTCGGTGGGATGTGCGAGTGGGTAGCCGGCCGCCGAGGTTCCAACGGGAAGCTGGTGTGAGAGGCTCTGGCGCTGGGGATCCGGCTGTGTGTCGGGGAGAAAATTTCATGTGTGTGAGCGTGCGAGCTTCAGGAGTTGTGTGTGTTCTCTGTGGCCCGGACTGTGTAGGACACAATGCTAGGATTCGGAGAGTGGAGGAACATCCAGAATCCTAGGTGTTGCCTGTGCTGGGCTGTATTTCGAATTCCTTTAATGAACAGGTTATCGTCAGGGGAGAAAAGATGGTATCCGGCCCGGAGCCTACGGAAGAAGAAGGCCAGCCTTGCAAAAGAGGGGCCTGTGTTCTTGTTGGGAGGTCACGCTAGCATGAAGGTTCAGGGAGTTTACTGAATAACCCTCGCTAGTATGATAGGGTGTCCTAACCAGGAGTTGCTCAGACTTGAGTGTTGACCCCGAAGCAGGTGGAGAAGGTTCGACAGAGGACCCCAGCTCCAGGAAGACAGGAGGGTCTGCGGCTCAGACCGTTGTAGGACCTCGCCTCTCCGTGCTGTGTGGCCCCAGGGCTCCGCCCCTCTCGATTTCTCAGTTTCCACACTGTAGAAGGAGGAAATTGGTCTGGGTGGGCTATTTGTAAATGTTTACCCAGACCTAGAAATGCCTAGAGGGGACATCAATGTAAACAGTGCAGCTAATATCCAGTGGGTGTGTAGACCAGGTTAGAGCGAAACGGAATGGAATTGGTGTTCAGGAACCCATCTAAGATCGCCCAGGGGCTCCCCTTTGTTGTGAAAATGTAGGCTTAAGGCTGTTCGAGGTGGGTGTCAGTGGCCCCAACTACTGGGCAGAGGGAACCCAGAGCGAAGGGGAGAATCTCGGGCCGGCCGAAGCTCCAGGGCAGACAGCCAGGAAGGAACCATTCTGTACCCAGAAGGCCTTTGCTGTCTCAAGTCGGGATCTTCCCTGTTTCCAGAGTGTTCAGAAGGGCGAGACCGGCCGGAGCAGGCCCCTTAGGAGCAGAAGAGTTTCTCAGTCTGGGAGTTGTGCTGTGACCCAGGTCCCCGACTCTTCCCTTTCCCTGCCGGAGTCGCACTGCGATTCCCACCTCTTCCCCTAAAACCCCACCTTCCAGAAGGCTTTGCTTGTCCGGCTGGGCACAGTTGGGTTTCCTAAGGTCTGCTAGTACCGCAGCGGCCTAGAGCAGAATTCCAGAGCCCCGCAGGACTCCGGAGATCGGCTGCTGCGAGGCAACCGGGCTGGGGAGCCAGGGACAGAACAAAAAGCGTACTCCATTTGGGGTTAGGCGAACGAAACGGATGGAGAGGGAGACGAACAATAGCCAAACGAACGGAATAAGAGGGGAACGAAATCTTGGGGAGAATGACTGGCTGCCCATCCGACACCCTGCCTCTCTTGGCTCCTGCAGATGCCGGGTCGGGGCGACAGCCCTCGCTGCGCACGCACGTGCACAAGCAGGCAGAGAAGACGACCAGGGTGCGGACTGTGCTCAACGAGAAGCAACTGCACACCCTGCGGACGTGCTACGCCGCCAACCCGCGGCCCGACGCGCTCATGAAGGAGCAGCTAGTGGAGATGACCGGCCTGAGCCCACGGGTCATCCGCGTGTGGTTCCAGAACAAGCGTTGCAAGGACAAGAAGAAGTCCATCCTCATGAAGCAGCTACAGCAGCAGCAGGCACAACGACAAGGCGGGTGAGGTGCTGGCGGTGGCGGGGAGGCGGGCAGTGGCATTCCGAGGAGGGCCTCTTTCTGGGGGGAGACCTAGGCGGAACTGGACTCTCCATGTTAAGTGGCGCCCACATCTTAGGAGAAAGGCTGGCCTTGGCATTCAAGTTGCGGTGGTTGGCGATGGTGTCTTGTGCCAGCGACGGCCCCGAGTTGAGGGGTCCTAGGCGCAGAGATAACCAGGTGGTGTGGTTGGGACTGCCGGGTGTACTTTTCTTTGTCAGGCCTCGATCTGAGGTCCCCCCCCCCCCTTCGCATACCTGGCTAGGGAAGGGCATAAAGACTTCCGTTTCCCTGACCTGGTGTTTGGCCCCTAGGAGTGAAACCGATGGCAGGTTTGTGGGCCCTGGGGTATCTCACTTCGGAATGGGGATTCGTTGTGTGCAGTCAAGTGTGCCTCCTCACATCAGTGCAATCCCCAGACGCTCTCCAGAGCCTGGGACTCCATGCTCAAAAGTGGTGCAAAAGCCGAGACCTAACTCTAATGCCTTGTGCCTTCTGCTTGCCCCGTAGAGCCTCCAGGGACTGACCGGGACGCCTCTGGTGGCGGGCAGTCCCATCCGCCATGAGAACGCGGTGCAGGGCAGCGCAGTTGAGGTGCAGACCTACCAGCCGCCTTGGAAAGCGCTCAGCGAGTTCGCACTCCAGAGTGACCTGGACCAACCCGCCTTTCAGCAGCTGGTGAGGCCCTGCGCTAGCTGCCCAGTGGGAGGGGAGGGGAGGGGACTTTGCATGGCACAGGGGTCTCCGGGACAGACCTGGCCATGGGGAAAGCCTGCTGGGCCTGCAACCTTGCTGCTGACACTAAACCTGGTATTAATGTCTCTCACCCGGCCCCAATCCTCCTGTGCCAATGGGGACCTGGCATCCCTCGCCTCAGGGTTTACTCAGTGGGCGGCTTGTCTGCAAGGAACACACCGGGTCTCCGAGCAGGTGACCCAGGAGCAGCGGCTTGGGCGTGTGCTCACTTGTTCTACCCTGGTGTCTCTGCCCTCCCAGGTCTCCTTCTCCGAGTCTGGCTCCCTAGGCAACTCCTCCGGCAGCGACGTGACCTCTCTGTCCTCACAGCTCCCGGACACCCCCAACAGTATGGTGCCGAGTCCCGTGGAGACGTGAGCGGGGACCCCTAGCTGCCAGCCCGCGGACCTCGCATGCTCCCTGCATGAGACTCACCCATGCTCAGGCCTATCCAGCTCCGAAAACTCTCCGGCCCTTGTAATTATTGTTGTTATTTAAAGCGAGGGGGGCAGAGGCAGGCGACCGCGACTGGACGGGACGGCCGGAAGAGCGGGGACGCAGCCTGCCTCGCCGCCGGGACTGGAGAATCCTGCTCCGAGGACTTTTCTGTTTTTCTCAACTAGAATGTGGGACTTGCGGGGTTAGCTCGGCCCTCGCCTCTCCCGCGCTGCGTGGGGAGCTGCCACTCTGCCTCTCGGCGCCCCACTCGCCCAGGAACCCCCCCTCCGCGTGGGGCCCTACAGGGACCTGCCCTCCCTCGGGGGAACTGCTCCGAACTCGCCTACCCTGACCCGAGGCTTTGAACAGGCCCTGGCGGCGAGGAGGACGGGACAACCCCAAGGAACAGACACAACCCCCAAAGCGCATGACTGCCGGGCAAGGTAGAAACCAGACTGTCTTTAAAAAAAAAAATGTTTTAAATTATCAGTCGACGGAGGACAGTGAGAGCCTTTGCCGAACAAACGTAAGTTATTGTTATTTATTGTGAGGCGAATCGTGGGACGAATATTTTGATCTTAATAAAAAACAAGCCGATGATGCCATTGCCGCGCCTGTGTGCTGTTGGCGCCCGGGGAGCCAGACGAACGCCCCTTCGCAAGTGGGCCTCAAGTGAAGTTTCCGCTCCACCCGCTCCACCCGCTCCACCCGCCCTCGTGCTGCGGCAATCGGCGCCCGACGGGCGGGCCAGGCGCTGATTGGGCGCCGAGGGGCGTGCCCGACGGGGATTGGGCACCTCCAGGGCGGGCCCGGCACTTATTGGATGCTGGCGGGGCGGGGCGGGGCGGTTCGGGTGCAGGGGGAGCCCTGAGGCGTTTCCGGAAGCGGGAAGGCTCTGCGCCCCAGGCGAGGACGCCTGGAGACTGGACCCCGGTTGTGGGGTGATGGGTTGGGGGCGCGAAGCCCACCTTGCGCCCCTGCGTTCTGCCGCGCGTCCTCCGCGCTGTCCCCAGAGTGGATGCGCGACGTGATCAATCTCGCTGCATTTATTAATTCCCCCGTCTAGACAGAGGAGAAGGCCGGGGCGGCTCCTTATCTATGCTTGGCATCACCTGCAAGCGATACACTGAAGGAGCTACAACAAGCCCCCGCTAGGATCGCGGCTGCAGGAGAAAATAAGTCCACCCAGAACCAGTCTGGCGTGTCTTTGGTTTATTTTCTTTCCAGGCCCGAAATGGAGAGGGCGGGGGATGGCCCCTGGATATGTCGTGCCCAGGTCACTTGGTGTGACATTTCAAACCCCTGCGACTTGTTTTCTTGAAAACTGGTTTTAGTGATCGCAGGAAATAACCAAGAGATACTGAATCTCCAGCAGGCCCCCCGGGCAAGCAGAAGGAAAAAAAAATCCCGGCAGGCTCAGGTTTTACCCTCTACAAATATTTAACCCTTTGGCAGTCTGGGACAATTCTTTTCGAAAGCCAGCCTCCCGCCCTCCCTTGGCTGGTTCGGAAAGCTGCCATCTACCAGCCAACCCATCAATCCTGCAACAATATGACATTTCTATTTCCTTGTCCCCACGGTGAAATGCCCCACAGAGCGCCCCTCTATGTCCAGGTTTTGTTGTTATTGTTGTTTTCTGAAGGAGTGCAGTATACTAACGGGATAGGGGAGAATGATCGTCCTAGCTTATAGGTGGGGACCGCTGACTAATGCGCCCAAAGGGCAGCACAGTCCGGGATAGAGGAGTAGACCCCTGTGGTAGAAGCAGCGTCTTGGGCCATCCAGCAGTTTTACACCCGTCCATCCCATAGCACCAATTAAGGATAGAGGGCTTCCTGGCCATTAAAGAAAACGAGAAGAGGTGGGAAAATCGAACCATTTTTATAGTTTACTTCCTGAAAGTCAAGATGATGCTTGCACTCAAAAAGGGGAGGGATTCGCTTTCTTGGAGATTTAGGAAACGGTCTGCAGATGTAGAGATAAGAGAGATATAGCTATATACAGAGTTAATTGGGGCCAGCTTTACCTCTCAAGGCTGGCTCTTTGAGGCGTCATTCCCTTAACTTAGACCACTCATTCCTTCCTAAGCAGAAATTCAGATTTCTCCTTTTTGCATCTGGTTGGCTATTGGATAGAAAACGAAACTTAAATCTTACTTTTGAAAACTTTTGATTATCAGAATATTGGGCTTTCACTTTTTTATTAAAAAGGAACGGGCCCTTAGGGAATTTCATTATTAGCGTTTTTTGCTTTTGACAGGGTGCAGTATTTTACAAACACCTACATACTTAGTTACTACGATCTTTTCCCTCATCATTCATAGCTTAAACAAACAAACATCCAGTTTGACTTCAACACTCCTGTATGCCTTTTATTACCTTGGGAAATTATCCAGGTAAAAGTGGTCACTGTGCAGTGAGATGTATGAGACATCACAAACTTTCTCCCATTACCCAAAGGAGTGTATGGTGTTCTCAAGTTCCCAGGGGAATAGCTTGCAATGTCCTTGGCAAGGTATCAGATCTACAGTTAGTTACATTAATAAATATCAATTTTACTGGTTCCCAGGTCATCTTTAAATATCTTTTGTAATGAAGTAGGGATTTCCTGGTAAATTAAATTACCTGTGACAATTACAACTTTTGTACTTTCTGCTAACATTTATCAGGAGTAGTAAAACCTCAGTTCAAGGGAAGAGGTGGATGGAAAAAGAGAATTATTTAACGTGATTAACTTCAGAATAAGATTTTCTCAGAAGACTTAACTAATTATTTGCTTAGCTCTGTGGAATGGGGGCAGGAAAAAGATCCCAGAGACAGACAAATTTTTGGCTACACCATTTGTTACATACTGTAAGGCCACACAATTCTGGGAAATTCAGAGTCCTTGTGGCAGTATTCCCAACGAATCTTCATATTGAGTGACTGTGGGACAGAAATCAGCCTTTCTGTTTCGAATGTGGAGTAAGTTAAAGCGCCAGCTTGTCAGAGCTGGGAAGAGTGGGTTTAAGTGACACATTGTTCTAACAGTGCCCTTAAAAAATGTGAGGCTCGGCCACTTTTGCCCAGGGGTGGGCTTACACCGCCATGCAGTTAATTGTGCTCACCAAAAAAGAATTAGCCCAACAGAAGCCCGCTGGAGGGAGAAAACAATGGACGAGTAAGTATTTGCAGAGAAGTAAGTTCCCAATGGAGCTGCGATAAAAGCAGGAAATTCAGAGTTTATTAAGCTGATGCAGGGAAGATTAGAGGCTTTTAACCGTGGGTCTGATTGATGTAAAAGTAAACTTTCTTTAAAATACGGAGATTCGGTGCTATAATGAGGATTGTGTGACCAATTACAGGCTAGCACCTTGTTGATGGAGACTGTGCGTAGAAAATGCTGATAAACAGAGCTAGGTTCAGAGTAGTGAGGGGAGCAAGAAAGGGCACGAGGAAGTACTCCACTCCGATCCAGATGTGGGTCTGGGCAGCTCCAGGTCCGAGCTTCCTTGTGCCTTCAGCAGCAATCCCCAGCCAGGCAGGAATGCCAGCTAGGTGGGCCCAGCCTTTGGCCACTGGCCCTCTGGTCAAGAGGGTTAGCCTCTCGAGGGAGAGTGGGTCATCAAGTGGACTCTGGGGTGGGTAAGTTTGCCAGCTGAGAAGTTGGGTATGTAAATGAGGTGTGTGACTACAGAGGGCTGAGCCCGTGCGCTGGAGCTGAAGGAGGGGGAAGATTGGGGACCTAGAGGACAATGTCCTTTCTGACTTCCACCGGGAAAGATGCAGGTGCTTTTCACAGCTGCTAGGGGCTGAGGAACACAGAGGTTAAGGTTAGGGCCAGGTCTTGATTTAGGCCCCATCAAGGCGGAGTTCCGGGTTCAAGGTCATAATGCCCAGAACCGCCAGAGTCTGGCGGGGCGGGGGAGGGGGGGCAGCTTTGGTGAGGACCCAGTAGGAAGCTGCCGTGCTGATGCGCCTTGGGCTTTCAGAATGACAGGCTCTGCAGTGCTTGGGAGTAGTTTTGTCACCCCAGGTGAGCAATTTGGTTGCAAATGTCGCTGCTCCAGGGCTCTAAAAACCCTTTTCAAGTCGGATCCGAATTTTAGTCTCAGGCGCTATGCCCCGGCCCCAGGAGGAAGCCGCCCACACCGCGACTATACCGGACGCTTCCCACCGAGGGGCAGCAGGACCATTCGATTACGTGTTTAATTGCGAATTCTGGTACAGCTTTGGGAGGTTAATCACTGCTGTCTCGATTATTTACGACTTTTTGGCAAAATTCCGACCAGATAAAGAGGTATATTCCATCGCGAAGCGTCTCACAGGAAACCTTATAAATATTTGATGATTCCCCTCGGCTTCGGGGACCGCCCTCCACTGGCTCCCGCCCGGACCGCAACCTTGGGCGTCCCTCCCTCCCTCCTGGGAGATGGGGTGTGTAGAGTCCGGGTGGGAGCGCCCAAGGAGGTGCTCCGCATGGTTGACATCATACCTCTTTATTTTCTTTCGATTTGTAAAACAGTAAAAAAAAAAAATTGAATACACATAACTCTGCAGCGCCGTGAGGTTCCAAAAAGAAGTGCCCAAAATATTTAGGTAAGTTTTTTTTTTAAAGAAAGGTAAGATTTCTTGTGTTGTTCAGCTTCCTGTGACAAACTTTAGGTTTTTGGGTCGGTTTCCACAGCCAGATCTTTCTTCGTAATTATTATCAATGTCATTCAGGCTCGGCAGAAGACCGCTTAAGGAGTGACCTCCTTACTCCCACCCCGCCCCCGCTGCCCGGCCCAGACAGAGCTGTGTGCCCATGACTGCCTATATTCAGACACGTGGCCACCTTCACTGTTTCTTTTACTTCCGTGTTGTTTCAAATACATTATTTAAGACAATACTTGATGCTCCCAGATTTAAAAAAAAAATTTATTTTGGACACTAAATTTAGGTCAGCAACGCTAATAATTCACAGTGTTATCTCCCAGGGAAGTCCCGACCAGTGCCTGGGAACTCTAATTTCAAACAGTCCCAAGGCTTACGGAAAGTGTTAATTACACAGGTCTCAACTCCAAGTCTTACAAGAAAAACTTAGAGCAGGTTAAATGTCTTAACACTTTCTCAAATTTGTGTAGCTTTAACGTGAAAAGTCAAAACTGAAAACTGCGTTACTTCATTACAAGAATGATATTTGCTAATTTTATCCATATTACAAATGCAAATTACAGTATGGAAGTAAACAAACTTCAAAATATTGTGCATAAATGAAACAAACTCAATTAGCAAAATTAGGAAGAACAGTCCAGTCTGTACAGTCTTTGTAAACAGTGCACAGGAGCATATCTACAGCAGGGGAGTATAAACACACCAGGAGTCCCTTAAGAAACAATGGAAAACATTAACAAAGGTACTCAAACGGAATTAGCTACAAAACATTTATTTTTTCTCTTTTTTCAAGAAAAATTGCCGGGCTTCTTCCCAGGCCTGCTGAGGAAATCTGTTAACCAGCTCCAGGTAGTCCCCAGGGTTCCCGAGTTTTCCTAAGGGAGAAAGAAAAGAGACTAAAAAGTGACTTCTAAAGGCACAGAAATTAAGCTTATTTTGATA